ACCAAGGGACCCTGAGATATGCCAATGACTGCTGAGCTGCAGACTGATGATTTGGGAGAAAAAAGCACCAACTTTGGGGCTGTATCCTGAGCTTGCTCCCCTTCCCACAGGCAGACCCGAGGCCCCGCTAGCGCTGACCCACAAGGACATGTGCCTTGTCTTCTGTGCCTTTGCCTCCTGGGCGGTGAAGACCTCTGACCTGCAGGCTCCGGATGCCTGGAAAACTGGTGTGTGGTGTGTGGGGTTGGGGGAGGATGGGGTGTGCAGGGAGGAAGGCAGGGATCCCATCACCGAAATGTGCTGGTGGGAAAATGTAGCCGTTTTCCTGCTGTTCCAAAGGTGCTTTCTAACATCTCCTATAGGAATGTTGGTTCTGACACCTTGCTTAGGGTCTTGCCCTGTGAATAGGGTCTGTTGTCTTGCACGTAGCCTGCAAGAGACCCCAGTTTTTTCCCAGAACAGCCTTTGCTGGTTGGGACCAAGGTGCCATTGAGGCGGCACCAAGATGGCATCGAGGTGGCCCCAGGCTGCTGGGAGAAATGTTCCCCACGAAGGTCACCAGGAAGCTGACACCCAGGCTGAGAATAGCATGCTAGCTAAAGCAGCTCCACACCACGATCACAAGGAGCTCTTGGCCAGCTCTTCCTTGCCTTCTTAGTATCAGGGGCAGACGTGGGCACAGTGTGCCTCATGCCATGGGATTGCATAAAGCAGTGTGCAAGGAGCTTTTCTTGGGCACGTATGAGATGATCTGATCTCTGCTATGAGCCAAACTGAAAGATTTTGCTGGGTGTTCAGAGAAGAGCTCCATCCATTTGTTCTGAGTTTTGGGTATTTTCTGCTTTTGGCTGGGATCAGGATGTCTGATGCGTGGTGGAACGGGGGCCTGGGATTACAAAAACTCCTGGCACTGTGTTGGCACCAAGTTAAGGCCATTGCCTTTGAGATATCAGGAGAGCTAACTCAAGAGATGCAGCTTGCTGCAATGGTTTTTTTCTCCAGTATCTCATATATAAGTTGTCATAAGCCATGCCAGACACAACCACCATCACCATCCCGGCATCCACACCTTGTGTAGATATACTGTGATCAATGCAACACGGTTGCTCAATCCAACACCATCATGGTGCTCAATCCAACACCATCACGGTGCTCAATCCAACACCATCACGGTGCTCAATCCAACACCATCACGGTGTTCAATCCAACACCAACATGGTGCTCAATCCAACACCATCATGGTGCTCAATCCAACACCATTGTGGTGCTCAATCCAACA